TTGTATGCGATAATGTACACTGTGTATATATCTGTAATTTCTCATCACAATAATCAAGATTATACAATTTCACAATGCGTGTTACACAGTATTACAGCGACCGTAAGGCTGTCAAGAATGGGTTTGCCTCCAAGGTAACAGAACAGGTAAATAACAATTTGATGAGTGTCCAGAGTTTTACCTGACCAGTGCCTGACACACAGAGCTGATATGCGATACTGTTTGACCGTAATGAATAGTATTTGTTATTTGCATTCGTTTGCCTATAGCTCGATCCCCTTCACCTGGATTTCCACGGCCTCACCCGACGATTTACGTAAGTGCCCCAGTCGGGGAGAAAACTACAGTCCAGGTACATGTAGAAATTGGTTATGTTTACCTGTATACGGGATTGTGTTGTAATTTTACATGTGTCGAATAAGTTTGTTTAAAATCACAGAAAACACAATTTCTAAATATAAGAATATAGACAGAAAGATAAGTTTATATATGTCGATAGAATATAGAAACATACGTAAACATCAAGTTTATATGTTTAAACATGAAACCGTATAAATTGTTAAGGCATTCCTCAATTTACACCGACCACAATTGTTATCGCACAACGGCTGTCCATCGTGCGCACATCTGTGCGCACGCAATGATCATCCAGCTTTTTATCGTTCGCCCATCGTGCACACACCGTTCACACACCGTGCACACATCGTGCGCACACCGCAAATCGTGTAACGTTGTGCGATCCCACAACTGTACTATTTATCTGTACCTAAATTATTATACCTGCATCTAAAGTATTATCTATCTGTACCTAAATTATTAGACCTGCATCTGAAGTATTACTTATCGGTGCCTAAGTATTATTTATTTGTACCTAACGTATTACTTACCTGTATCTAAAGTTTGACATACCTTAATTATAGCTTACCTATATCTAAAGTATTATATCCTACATATATTGTACCTAAAATATTACTTACCTGTATCTAAAGTTTGACATACCTTAATTATAGCTTACCTATATCTAAAGTATTATCCTACATACATTGTACCTAAACTATTACTTACCAGGACCCACATTGTTAATTACATCAAATATCACTTATTTTTACCCTAATTATCACTTATCTGTGACGGAAATATGACTAAGTCAAATCTAGGTACATGTTTACAAAATTCCTCCTATATTTCTGGTTGCCCGAGGTAACATTCGCACCTGACCACATAGACAGGTGTGAACTCCTTACTGTCCTCAGGTGTTTGATATGTACAGGCTAGTTTTTAACCAAACTGTCTATATACCATCTATCAAATTTGTCTTATTCCTTAATTTATTAGTTATTACTTAGCTAGACTTCTCATCAAATGTAATTCTAGAAAAAACAACAATGATCTCATTTAATGATATCCTGCCTCCTTGTTATTAGTAACAGTAACGTTTACCAAGTCTGTATGATATACAGGGTAATAACTAAAATAAAGTACGTTAGGCTACTGATACATGATGTCACAAAAGAGAACATATTACTATACCAAGATAAGGTATATAAATCACAGCCCTTCTACACACACATAACCAGCATCAGCTCTGTACTCCACTGAAATAGAATGAAATAAAAATCAAATGATTTTAATTTATTGCTCCAGGAAGTATAATATTCTGAGGGTGAAAGATTGCCTGTAATTAGTGGTGGGCACAGATTTGACAACAGATACTGACTTTCTACAACACTTCAAAGTCTTGAGTTCTCTTCAGGATATTTTGTCATTTATTTTGACAATTGAATGAGTATGAGGGTTTGCCGTTTGTGTATAAAGATTTACAATAGTAATGGTAACTTAATTGAGATTGCTCTCACCTTGAAAATGATAAATGTTGAATTAATTCACAGTGAAGTGCATTTATATCAATTTAATATCCCCAATTCGATGGCGACAACATATTTTTCTCATCAGACACAAAAACGCAATCTCCACAAAATAATGAGAAATGCAGACTACACAAAACTTAAAAGTTCTGAGCTTTTGAAAATCAGCAATACCCTGAACTGTGAGTGAAATTTTTCATTTGTCAAAAGTCATATTTACGAGCTTTAACGTACGTACTCCATGACCCCACCACTCTATCCAGTAAATGCCACCCAGAAATCTCCTCACCATGACAACCATTGACACTGATTACTGAAAACTCTTCGTTTATCAGAAATTGCAGTGTTAGGCCTAAACAAGAGGCCTAGGGGTAATAATAGCTCACCTGGAATTTTATTTTCAAATTAAAACCTGTTGAACATCATACAGTTTTATCAGAAGTGAAAACCTGTTGAACATCATACAGTTTAATCAGAAGTTAAAACCTGTTGAACATCATACAGTTTTATCAGAAGTGTAAAATTCAGAGTCAGGGCCAGTTTATCATGATTCTAGAACTTTCGGTTTTCAGAAGAAGCTGTTTAAGTTTTTGACATATTCAAACCTTGCATTATTGAAACTAAGTCAATGTCATATTTATTTAACAAACTATTGCAGGCTCCATCCCAGGAAACTTCAAGCATAATATCATGACTTAAAGCCTTTTGGTTCTTCAGGAGATGTTTGAAGTTTTTGACATAATTATTCCCTGTGACATAGAAAGCACAGTCAAGGTCATTTTCATTTCTTTATTGCAAACTTTGATGTGATCCACACAAGGAAGCTAGACTTTTGATGTGATCCACACAAGGAAGCTTGACTTTTGATGTGATCCACACAAGGAAGCTTGACCTTTGATGTGATCCACACAAGGAAGCTTGACTTTTGATGTGATCCACACAAGGAAGCTTGACTTTTGATGTGATCCACACAAGGAAGCTTGACTTTTGATGTGATCCACACAAGGAAGCTTGACTTTTGATGTGATCCACACAAGGAAGCTTGACTTTTGATGTGATCCACACAAGGAAGCTTGACTTTTGATGTGATCCACACAAGGAAGCTTGACTTTTGATGTGATCCACACAAGGAAGCTTGACTTTTGATGTGATCCACACAAGGAAGCTTGACTTTTGATGTGATCCACACAAGGAAGCTTGACTTTTGATGTGATCCACACAAGGAAGCTTGACTTTTGATGTGATCCACAAAAAGAAGCTTGACTTTTGATGTGATCCATACAAGGAAGCTAGACTTTTGATGTGATCCACACAAGGAAGCTTGACTTTTGATGTGATCCACAAAAAGAAGCTTGACTTTTGATGTGATCCACACAAGGAAGCTTGACTTGTGATGTGATCCACACAATGAAGCTTGACCATTGATGTGATCCACACAAGGAAGCTTGACTTTTGATGTGATCCACACAACAAAGCTTGACTTTTGATGTGATCCACACAAGGAAGCTTGACCTTTGATGTGATCCACACAAGGAAGCTTGACTTGTGATGTGATCCACACAAGGAAGCTTGAGTTTTGATGTGATCCACACAAGGAAGCTTGACTTTTGATGTGATCCACACAAGGAAGCTTGACTTGTGATGTGATCCACACAAGGCAGCTTGACTTGTGATGTGATCCACACAAGGAAGCTTGAGTTTTGATGTGACCCACACAAGGAAGCTTGACTTTTGATGTGATCCACACAAGGAAGTTTGACTTTTGATGTGATCCACACAAGGAAGCTTGACTTTTGAATCTCCAGGAGAAGTTGCTTGAAGGTTCTGAAATAATTGAACCTTGTGAACTTGAAATTAAATAAATGTCATATTTATTTTGCTGTCTTTATCCATGTTAATCATATGAGTCTATTTGTTTAATATTATGACTGTATGCCTTTTGGTTTTTCAGATGAAGATATTTGAAGTTTTTGACATTTGACATCTGTGACCTATTTAGGTAAAAGTCACTTTTAATTTCTTCCCAGCAATATATCATGATTCTAGACATTTCAGTCTTCAGAAGTCTTTTGAAGTTTTTGATCTATGTGACCTTGAAAGTATATCAAGGTCATGTTTATTGTAAACTTTGCCTGGCTTCATCAAAGGTAAGAAGCTGAATGATGTTTTTTTTTTTTATATATATTTGACCACTGTGACCTTGAAAGTGGGTCAAGGTCATTTGTTTTCAAACTTTGATGGACTCCATCCATGGAAGTTATTAGCCTAATAGAGTATGATGACTGTCACCTGTCTATTGGACCAGGTGATCTTAAAAGATATACAGGATTCTGGTTTTTCTTTTTTTTTGAAATTCATGTTGTCTTTATTATTACTTGGCGGTTTGTTAAATCTTCTCTTTGATTTTTTTCAGATATGTCATTGCTTATTTAACCTTCTGAAAATTGTTTATGTTGTCTTGTTAATGCTGCCTTCCCTGTTGTTTGATGTTTCCTGGCTCCATATTACTTTCCATATTTCTTATGTTTCCTGGCTCCACATTACTTTCCGTATTTCTTATGTTTCCTGGCTCCATATTACTTTCCGTATTTCTTATGTCTCCTGGCTCCATATTACTTTCCGTATTTCTTATGTTTCCTGGCTCCATATTACTTTCTGTATTTCTTATGTTTCCTGGCTCCATATATCTTTCCGTATTTCTTATCTTTCCTGGTTCCATATCACTTTCCATATTTCTTATGTTTCTTGGCTCCATATCACTTTCCATATTTCTTATGTTTCCTGGCTCCATATTACTTTCTGTTTTTCTTATGTTTCCTGGCTCCATATATCTTTCCATATTTCTTATGTTTCCTGGCTCCATATTACTTTCCGTATTTCTTATCTTTCCTGGTTCCATATCACTTTCCATATTTCTTATGTTTCTTGGCTCCATATCACTTTCCATATTTCTTATGTTGCCTGGCTCCGTATTACTTTCCATTTTTTTCATGTCTCCTGGCTCCCTATAACTTTACGTACTTCTTATGTTTTCTAGCTCCCTGTTACTTTCCAATTTTCGTTTATGTTTCCTGTATTCATGTACCCTTCACTATGTTGCTTTCCTTATGTCTCGATGCCTCCTGCTACAGTCTGTCAATGATATTTTATCATGTCCCATGTTTTGCTGGTTCCTTGCCTCATACTGCCTTCTGTATTGTTTTGATGCCTGGTTCCCTGTCTCATACTGCCTTCTGTATTGTTTTGATGCCTGGTTCCCTGCATCATACTGCCTTCTGTATTGTTTTGATGCCTCGTTCCTTGCCTCATACTGCCTTCTGTATTGTTTGGATGCCTGGTTCCTTGCCTTATATTGCCTTCTGTATTGTTTTGATGCCTGGTTCCCTGCCTCATACTGCCTTCTGTATTGTTTTGATGCCTCGTTCCTTGCCTCATACTGCCTTCTGTATTGTTTGGATGCCTGGTTCCTCGCCTCATACTGCCTTCTGTATTGTTTTGATGCCTGGTTCCCTGTCCCATACTGCCTTCTGTATTGTTTGGATGCCTGGTTCCCTGTCTCATACTGCCTTCTGTATTGTTTTGATGCCTTGTTTTCTGTCTCATACTGCCTTCTGTATTGTTTGGATGCCTGGTTCCTTGCCTCATGCTGACTTCTGTATTGTTATGATGCCTGGTTCCTTGTCCCATACTGCCTTCTGTATTGTTTGGATGCCTGGCTCCTTGCCTCATATTGCCTTCTGTATTGTTCTGATGCCTGGTTCCCTGCCTCATACTGCCTTCTGTATTGTTTTGATGCCTGGTTCCTTGCCTCATACTGCCTTCTGTATTGTTTTGATGCCTGGTTCCCTTTCTCACACTGCCTTCTGTATTGTTTGGATGCCTGGTTCCTTGCCTCATGTTGACTTCTGTATTGTTATGATGCCTGGTTCCTTGTCTCATACTGCCTTCTGTATTGTTTGGATGCCTGGTTCCTTGCCTCATATTGCCTTCTGTATTGTTCTGATGCCTGGTTCCCTGACTCATACTGCCTTCTGTATTGTTTCGATGCCTGGTTCCTTGCCTCCTACTGCCTTCTGTATTGTTTTGATGCCTGGTTCCTTGCCTCATACTGCCTTCTGTATTGTTTCGATGCCTGGTTCTCTGTCTCATACTGCCTTCTGTCATTGTTTGGATGCCTGGTTCCTAGCCTCATACTGCCTTCTGTATTGTTTCCATGCCTGGTTCCTTGCCTCCTACTGCCTTCTGTATTGTTAGGCTGCCTGGTTCCTTGCATCGTACTGCCTTCTGTATTGTTTGCATGCCTGGTTCCTTGCCTCGTACTGCCTTCTGTATTGTTATGATGCCTGGTTCCCTGTCTTATACTGCCTTCTGTATTGTTTTGATGCCTTGTTTCTTGTCTCATACTGCCTTCTGTCATTGTTTGGATGCCTGGTTCCTAGCCTCATACTGCCTTCTGTATTGTTTTGATGCCTGGTTCCTTGACTCATACTGCCTTCTGTATTGTTTTGATGCCTGGTTCATTGCCTCATACTGCCTTCTGTATTGTTTTGATGCCTGGTTCCTTGCCTTATATTGCCTTCTGTATTGTTTAGATGCCTGGTTTCCTGTCTCATACTGCCTTCTTTATTGTTTTGATGCCTGGTTCCTTGCCTTATATTGCCTTCTGTATTGTTTTGATGCCTGATTCCTTGCCTCATACTGCCTTCTGTATTGTTTTGGTGCCTGGTTCATTGCCTCATACTGCCTTCTGTATTGTTTTGGTGCCTGGTTCATTGCCTCATACTGCCTTCTGTATTGTTTGGATGCCTGGTTCCCTGTCTCATACTGCCTTCTGTATTGTTTGGATGCCTGGTTCCTTGCCTCATATTGCCTTCTGTATTGTTTTGATGCCTGGTTCCTTGCCTTATATTGCCTTCTGTATTGTTTAGATGCCTGGTTCCCTGTCTCATACTGCCTTCTTTATTGTTTTGATGCCTGATTCCTTGCCTCATACTGCCTTCTGTATTGTTTTGATGCCTGGTTCCCTGTCTCATACTGCCTTCTGTATTGTTTGGAGGCCTGGTTCCTTGCCTCATATTGCCTTCTGTATTGTTTTGATGCCTGGTTCCTTGCCTTATATTGCCTTCTGTATTGTTTAGATGCCTGGTTCCCTGTCTCATACTGCCTTCTTTATTGTTTTGATGCCTGATTCCTTGCCTCATACTGCCTTCTGTATTGTTTTGATGCCTGGTTCCCTGTCTCATACTGCCTTCTGTATTGTTTGGAGGCCTGGTTCCTTGCCTCATACTGCCTTCTGTATTGTTTTGATGCCTGGTTCCCTGTCTCATACTGCCTTCTGTATTGTTTGGATGCCTGGTTCCCTGTCTCATACTACCTTCTGTATTGTTTTGATGCCTGGTTCCTTGCCTCATACTGCCTTCTGTATTGTTTTGATGCCGGTGGTTCCCTGTCTCATATTGCCTTCTGTATTGTTTGGATGCATATTTCCTCATGCTGCTTTCCTTATAGTTTGTTAATGCTGCCATTTATTTCCTATGTCTCATTTCTTATGGCGCCTTCCCTGTAGTTTTGGTACAACTTTTGAACATGTTTTCGTGCCTGTTTTTATTATGCTTCTTGCTCACTTAGTATTTTGTTATAATTTGCAGTTATTTCAGTTACTTAATATTTGCATTTTATCTTTAATTGATTTTATGTGAATGCATTTAGTACTATAAGTCATAAATAACACATTTCAGAGCAACTGTGACCTGGTGTTTATTATAAACAATTTTACAAGGAGTGCTATAATTAAATGTTTTCCTTCTATTACCAATTTGTTATATATGCAATGGTTTTTTTATCTTTTTTTTTGGGGCTGTAGTGATTGGTGTACTATTTTGTGTGCTGTGGTGTTTGGTGTACTATTTTGTGTGCTGTGGTGTTTGGTGTATTATTTTGTGTGCTGTGGTGATTGGTGTACTATTTTGTGTGCTGTAGTGTTTGGTGTACTATTTTGTGTGCTGTTGTGTTTGGTGTATTATATTGTGTGCTGTGGTGATATGTGTACTATTTTGTGTGCTGTTGTGTTTGGTGTACTATTTTGTGTGCTGTAGTGTTTGGTGTACTATTTTGTGTGCTGTAGTGTTTGGTGTACTATTTTGTGTGCTGTGGTGTTTGGTGTACTATTTTGTGTGCTGTAGTGTTTGGTGTACTATTTTGTGTGCTGTAGTGTTTGGTGTACTATTTTGTGTGCTGTGGTGTTTGGTGTACTATTTTGTGTGCTGTAGTGTTTGGTGTACTATTTTGTGTGCTGTAGTGTTTGGTGTACTATTTTGTGTGCTGTGGTGTTTGGTGTACTATTTTGTGTGCTGTAGTGTTTGGTGTACTATTTTGTGTGCTGTAGTGTTTGGTGTACTATTTTGTGTGCTGTAGTGTTTGGTGTACTATTTTGTGTGCTGTGGTGTTTGGTGTACTATTTTGTGTGCTGTAGTGTTTGGTGTACTATTTTGTGTGCTGTGGTGATTGGTGTACTATTTTGTGTGCTGTAGTGTTTGGTGTACTATTTTGTGTGCTGTGGTGTTTGGTGTACTATTTTGTGTGCTGTAGTGTTTGGTGTACTATTTTGTGTGCTGTAGTGTTTGGTGTACTATTTTGTGTGCTGTAGTGTTTGGTGTACTATTTTGTGTGCTGTGGTGTTTGGTGTACTATTTTGTGTGCTGTAGTGTTTGGTGTACTATTTTGTGTGCTGTAGTGTTTGGTGTACTATTTTGTGTGCTGTGGTGTTTGGTGTACTATTTTGTGTGCTGTAGTGTTTGGTGTACTATTTTGTGTGCTGTAGTGTTTGGTGTACTATTTTGTGTGCTGTAGTGTTTGGTGTACTATTTTGTGTGCTGTAGTGTTTGGTGTACTATTTTGTGTGCTGTGGTGTTTTGTGAACTATTTTGTGTGCTTAGGTGTTTGTTGTACTATGTTTTGTGCTGTAGTGTTTGGTGTACTATTTTGTGTGCTGTGGTGTTTGGTGTACTTTTTTGTGTGCTGGAGTGTTTGGTGTACTATTTTGTGTGCTGTGGTGATTGATGTACTATTTTGTGTGCTGTGGTGATTGATGTACTATTTTGTGTGCTGTGGTGATTGATGTACTATTTTGTGTGCTGTGGTGATTGGTGTTCTATTTTGTGTGCTGTGGTGATTGGTGTACTATTTTGTGTGCTGTGGTGTTTTGTGAACTATTTTGTGTGCTTTGGTGTTTGTTGTACTATGTTTTGTGCTGTAGTGTTTGGTGTACTATTTCGTGTACTGTAGTGGTTGGTGTACTATTTTGTGTGCTGTGGTGTTTGGTGTACTTTTTTGTGTGCTGTGGTGATTGGTGTACTATTTTGTGTGCTGTGGTGATTGGTGTACTATTCTATGTGCTGTAGTGTTTGGTGTACTATTTTGTGTACTGTAGTGGTTGGTGTACTATTTTGTGTGCTGTGGTGTTTTGTGTATTATTTTGTGTGCTGTAGTGTTTGGTGTACTATTTTGTGTGCTGTTGTATTTGGTGTACTATATTGTGTGCTGTAGTGTTTGGTGTACTATTTTGTGTGCTGTGGTGTTTTGGGTATTATTTTGTGTGCTGTAGAGTTTGGTGTACTATTTGGTGTGCTGTTGTATTTCGTGTACTATATTGTGCGCTGTAGTGTTTGGTGTAGTTTTTTGTGTGCTGTTGTGTTTGGTGTACTACTTTGTGTGCTGTTGTGATTTGTGTACTATTTTTGTGTGCTGTGGTGATTTGTGTACTATTTTTTGTGCTGTGGTGATTTGTGTACTATTTTGTGTGCTGTAGTGTTTGGTGTACTATTTTGTGTGCTGTTGTGTTTTGTGTACTATTTTGTGTGCTGTAGTGTTTTGTGTACTATTTTGTGTGCTGTGGTGTTTTGTGTATTATTTTGTGTGCTGTAGTGTTTGGTGTACTATTTTGTGTGCTGTAGTGTTTGGTGTACTATTTTGTGTGCTGTAGTATTTGGTGTACTATTTTGTGTTCTGTAGTGTTTGGTGTACTATTTTGTGTGCTGTAGTGTTTGGTGTACTATTTTGTGTGCTGTGGTGTTTGGTGTACTATTTTGTGTGCTGTGGTGTTTGGTGTAATGTAGCATGCTGTAAAGATCTGCAGTGACAGGTAGATTGGAGAAAAGTTTATCATTGAAAACAGTAATGTATTTCTCAAACATACTCAACTAGAAAAAAGACATAACACACAGTCTTTGAAACCGGGTTTCTCCATGAACACACCTTCCATAGGAGTGATTTGACAGTTGGACTACTCATTCTTGGCTTGGTGGGCCTATATCGGTGATACAATCCTTAATGTGTGTAGGCCTATAGACCCCATGGGGTTGACAACAGCCATGTTTTCAAATGGTGATTTAGAAAGAAAGGCTCAGGAGCGCCTGTAATTACCCAACTCTGTCCAAATGCACAATGCATGGAATCTTTAATCCTTTTCCAATGGAATCCTGGCCCTAATTGCACAAGTCTTACAGGAGATATCAAGAATTCTAAAGCTCATAGATTTCAGTGAAAAATGGCAACGGCAGACTTGAAAGGCAAGGAATCCAAAATCATTACACAAATGTGCATCTCACAAAGTTTTCTGGCAACGAGAAAACTCTGGTATCTTGGGGACGCAGTGTAGACAAGCCAACAGGAGGAAATGCTCTGGAAAGTTACAAAAAAGTAGAAAAGACAACTTTGGTGTTGAGGGACAGAAATTCAGTAGAAAAAAACTATGGGAGTTTGGTGATGCTCAACTCATGATAAATATTCAAAGAGATAATTAAAGATAAAGGATCTAAATTAAAATTTCTAAAACAAAATGGTAGCAACTAAGTCACCATGGAGTTAAATACACCCTGTCAGAAGCTGAATAGTTTGGTCAATACTCAGCCAACTCCTTTGTCAGCACCTAAATACTTTGGCCCATGCTTGACAATAAGCCCATGCCCGACAATAAGCCCCCCCCCCCACCTGTCATGACAGAACCTGAATAACTGGGCCTCAGGTTAAGTATAAGCCCACCATTCTTGTAAGCACTAATCTCATTGGGCCCATGTGTGGATATAGCTATTAACTTACACAAATCAACCTAACAAAATTAGTATCTTTTTAGTAAAACTGTCCATATATAGGGTTTGCACAACAGAAATCAGTGTCCTAGCTCATTGTGTATGAAGTTGTTTGTGTACCTAAAATACCTTTAAATGTGAACAAAAAATCTCATCATTTGTCATTTCCGTATCTTTTACATATTACGTAATATTTCTAAAATATGTAAATCAACGTGTCTATGATGAGTTTATTTTCAAGGGAGTTAAAACAAAACTGTGCTTTAGTGGGTTGGATGTTTCATGTACCTTTACTAATCAAAAGCATTACCTTTTACAATATTACAAACTAAATCTTACAGTCATCCACTAGAGAATGTCAACAAAGAACTACATCTTACAGTCATAAACTAGAGAATGTCAACAAAGAACTAAATCTTACAGTCATCCACTAGAGAATGTCAACAAAGAACAACATCTTACAGTCATCCACTAGAGAATGTCAACAAAGAACTAAATCTTGTAAATAATCCCAACTGGACTTACACAAAAGAATATATAATTTTTGTATGAGCTGTCAAATGTCAACATGCAATTCAGTTTTCTTATTTCGGGGTAATAAATGGTTTACTATTTATGTGAAACCAATATGCATTATCTAAAAGACAGTTTTCTAACAGAGGTAAGTAATATATAGTATGTATCTATCTTTAACCTTTTTCTAACAACAGAGTTATGTCCCATTTCCAGGTGTTTCACCCCTGAAATCAACATGAATAATAATTCCTAAATAAGTACATGTTGTGATTCTGAATCATCAATATGTTTTGGAATTTCCTCAGTTCCTGTCACACTTTTATTTAACACTTATAATTTCCTATTTTCCCTTTGTGTGTTAGGATGCTGTGGTATATTGTTATGTCCATAATATCACAACAAAAACAATATCCTCAATCAAGACTAATTTGTAATGGTAATTGCCATTTCTCTGGCCTACTGAGGTGTGTTAGCCTGGTGAGCAGTATTTCATAGGTTCTTTTTAGACATGAATTATTCTTGTGTACAATAAGCTGTTAGGAAGAACACTTTACAACAATCTGTCGCTACTGTTATCTATTTTCATACTCAATAAATTACTCATGAAATTGAATTCAGAATTCTGTGAAAGCAATAAGAATGGAATTATAAAATTTCATAGTAAGAGCAGGTCCAAACACTTATCTACACGCCAAGCACATTCTTGTACAAAGCTCAAAGAAAGAAAATGGCTGAACATTACCAATCATGTATAAAGAGGAAACACAGGGCAGGGGGCCCCAAGTACAGATAACCTTTCATTTTTCTTTTGTCTAGAAATGAGAAATACTTCTTTGGAAATATCCTAAAGCTCCTGATCATCAAGGTACCATTAAAAGTACCAGTAACCT